TCTGATCATACATGTACATAGTTTATGTACAGTATGTGTTTCTTCCTACCACCCAAAACCAGGTAAAGAATGCTAGTCATTATAAGATACATAATTTTATTGTTGTATGATACTGTACTGGCTTAGAAGTTGTACTGACTGTTGTTTACATTTTAAGTCAAAAATAACTTAAAATTCAGTCTCATGTGAAGCATATCAAGGCCCTATAAGCCAAACAGTTATCTTATTTGACTGTTCTCTTATTTAACTGTTAATGTGTTTGTTTTCTCTGTATTTCTGTGCATATACATATGTTTGTATATACATGTATGTCGCCCTACACGGACAACATTCCTGCACATAAAAAAACTGTCCAAGGCTCTGGTTATGCCAAAGATGCAGAGGTTTCCTTTGTAGGTTAATATGCTTGTACAAGAAGACTTGCAAGGCACCATGATAGAATCATACAAATACAATAATCATCAGGTAATAATAAATATAATATAATATAATATAAAATAAATAATATAATATAATATAATATAATATAATATAATATAATATAGTTTAGGTTACTTGTTATGCATAAGGGACATTAACTATACTCCGTTTGTGCTACTAAGTATTTATGCATGTACTCAAGTAATTGTTTATCGAATGGACATACTCACTAATGACATTTTCTAACAAAGGGTGAAAAAGGAGTTAATGATATTATTAAACTAGATCAAAAACTTATGTTTTGGATCACAAAGACCTCTCGCATAAGAGTTTTGATGCTAGTTCTCAGATATCCCATACTTTAGACAAAAAGGCATGTGCCAGAATCAGTTCTTTCTGATTTCTATAAAGACAAAACTGGCTAGAATTTTCATGAAAACTTGATTTCTTAGAAGCTCAGTATGTCTATGTTTAGATATTTGGCCAAACTGCCCACATTTATTCTGAGATAATCTTAGGCTTCACGCTTCAGCATTAGTGACTCCTTTATTTTTGTTCCATTAATAATAGTCTTGTGCTCCAAAACTTGAAAAACTTAAGCAATTGTTCAGCCAAAGGACAACAGCTGAAATTCTGGTCTAGGTGGGATATAAATGGTCTAAATGACCTTTCCACATTTAGTGCAAGTTTGGCATGCTATGGTCTGCACCACTGGCATGAAACTGCCCTGGCAAACTAGGATGGGCGGAGGAGAGGAGCCCATCTTCCCCATAGTGTCAAAAAACCTTTGTGGTTCTTTCCTGTGAGATGAGCATCTCAGATCACGCAATGTGGGCAGTGGATGTCCTCCCATCCTAGCCACCCTGCCAGAGCTGAGTGGGGGCAGAGAGAGCATGGGAGCAGTTCCCCAGTCTGGAGAGTGCAGGCTCACGGTGAGCTTCGGAATCTGCCACTAACTAATGTGAAAGCTGCCTTTTCTTCCTGAGTGTCCATTTCTGTCACATGAAGGTTTCTAGCAGCTGTGTGCAGGTGCCTAGCTGTGTGTGTGTCCAAGCAGTGTTATCTGTTCTCATATTGCATCCCACCTGAGAGTGGGATCCCTTCACAGCCTGGCCTTGTGAAGTTGATGGGCTAGGATTAGTGTCAGAGAACCACTCTCAGTGTGTCTCACTGGGAAGGTCAGATAGTGACTTTCATTTTTTTAATTGCCCACATTGAAATGCTAGTTGAACTTCCAGATACAGCATGAGGTTGGCATAGCTCTGGCAGTGAAGACAAAAAGCAATTGTCCTCCAGCCTGGAGCTTCAAGGGTAGAGAACTTGCAGCATTAGTATGTGGGGATGGAGAGAAGGGTCTTGGGGTGGTTGAGGAAATAATGCAAGCCAGAATTTGAAAGCAACTGAACCACTTTCTCACAAGGTCTCCCTGCATGCCAAGGGCCAGCCACTATGCCTAGTGTCCTTGCTGCATTAATGCCATATTTCTCCAGGCTAACCCAGTTACCACCCTTTTAAACATGCCTCTGCAGCAAAGTGATAGGGACTTACACTTTGTTATGATTTTCATGTAGTTCTTTATCCATTCTGAAGATCTTTAGCTTGCTTTTCTGGGAAAGGAGCTGAGGGGTCGGGGTGGGATGGAGGAGGATGGAGGGGGCATAAGCATGTGCACACATGTGTATCTGAGCAGGGTTCTCCCAGGACAAAGCCTTCGTCCTTTATGGGTTCCCACTGGGATTAACCAGGAGCAACAGAGCCAAAACACATGTTTGAGTGCCCAGTACAGCCTGCTTTCTGTGATATACTGGGAGCCTTTGGGTCAAGCCCGTGAGCAAACCAATGGCACCATGTACCACACCTGCCATGACAGATAGATCATACAGAGGACAAAATGCTGCTTGAGCCATGCCGGCTGGGCAGTTCCATTTTCCCCAAGATGCTTTCATATGAGAAGCCTGTTCAATCTTGGCCCGCAGACTGGCTCTGGGGGTGGGGGTATCTGGCTTTGCCTGCTCTGCAGCAGTGCTGTTCTGGGGGATACGGGCACAAGCTGTAGGGCTGTCTGTGCTCATCTACCGCCTTATGCCCTCTGGGTAGAGATGCAAACCCACCCTCTGCCAGCTCTCGTGGCAATGCAAACACAATCTCACACTATCTCCCTCTCCCTTGCAGTAGCAAAGGCTGTAGAAAGTGACTGGTTTCTCTCTGCCACTACCTCACTACATTTGTTTTTTCCTGCTTGCCAGACTGCCAGGTAGTTCTTGCTTTTAGTGCACAGGACCCTAGTGCAACTGTAATCCCTTGGCCATCCCAAGGGAGGGAGTGGGGCCTTCTGCAAGCCCTACCTGGGAAAGGAGAGACTTCTCACATCTTTGCAGCTCACAGGGGCAGCCTTGCTGATGTGGTGTTATGGATTTGGTTAGGTTGCCCTCATCTTTATGGAGGGAAGAGAGTGATAAAAGGGACAGAGGAGAGTTATTGTCATTTTAAATCAGGTCCGCAATAATGGTTTGTTGTGTAAGAGTTCAGGCACTCAAAGAGGTGTGTTCAAGGACACCAGTGCATTTGTGCCAAGAGGAATGTCTTTTATGGTAAATTAACTCCAGTTAAATAGAATACTTATTCAAAGAGAAACTCCATAATTTAGAGCTGGCATTATCAGCTTTTTGTGTCTGGGTAGAGGGAAAAACAATGGGATTTCAGGGGTATTTTACACCAGATATAAAAATAAGTTTTGCTAATTATGGTTAACCCCAAGTTTTTGTCATTCATCTCTGCCTAAATGTATGTCCTTAACTTGTCCCTTATCAGTATAGTCTGTAGAAGAGAAGATGCACGACGGTTGTTTGACCCCTGCAAATCTGAGGGTGCTGGGCAAGAGTAGCCAGCCAGAAACCGAGCAGTGGGGATGGGGCATGGATTCTGCAAAGGTTACCGCGTTGGGCTCTTGCTGTTTGCTTTGACATTACCTGTCTTGTATGGGGTCTCTCCTTCCCCCACTCATCCCCCTGCTTCTTTTGTAAATTTATGGGAATTGCAGCTGGTAGCCTTGGCAAGCTCCCCTCATTAAGGGGCCTCTTTGAAAATGGGCTGTGTTTGAGCATTTCCCTAATGAGGACAGGACGGGGTTAAAAAGTGACCATTTCATGGTTGACTTGAACCTGCTTACTTTCCTTGATGTGTCGTTGTGAAATGCCTGACGTGAATAAACTCTCACTTTGGGCAAAGAGGAAGTCAGCGGTCCCTCCGGCACGCCGCCGGGGGCTGCGCAAGGGCAGCGGGAGGGAGCGCTGCAGTGCCCGCAGCGGCGGTGCTGGGGCCGGGGGCCGCACACTCCGGACGCCCCTGAGCTGGGCACAGCACCACAGCCCGCCTCACAGGAGCAGAAATAATTTTTACTCACTGTTTTTCCCCCCTTCCCAGCTCCCCTGGTTAAAGCCGCCCCCGGAGAATGAAACCAGACTCTGGCACCCTGTTGCCGCCCGGGAGCCGGGTCCCCTTCGCAGCCCCCGGCCGCAGCCGGCGAGGGCGGGGACATCAGTCTCCAGCGGTGCGGGACAGGCTCCCCCCGTTCGGGGAGGGGGGCGGAGGGGGCTGCCCTCCCCCGTGTCCCCCGCCGAGGGTGGGGGGGAAGCGGGGGCGCCTGAGCCCCGCCGCAGCTGGCAAAGTCGTACCCCGAAAGAAGAAAAGGAAACCTCTCGCAGATGGCAGCCCCCCCTCCCACCCCCCTCCCCTTCGCCCCCGCAACTTTCTCCCACCAGAAGAGCGGGAAAATGAGGGAGGGATGTTTGCGAAACGTGCTCGTTCCTTCTGCAGCGTTCGGTGGTAATGAATGCAGAGGGAGGGCAGAGGAAGGGGATCTGGTGGAGAAGGAATGTGTTTGCAGGAGGAGGAGTGTAAACGGTGATTGTGTAATTAAATAATTAAACAAAAATACTTAAGTCTCATTTGGGGAGAGAGCTGGAGTAGGGTCCACAGGGTGTAACTGGTGAATTTTTCAACTTCCAAGTTTTGCAGAGTCAGGGGCGGGGTAGTGGAGGGACACTCACGGACACGTTGAGAGCAGATCGGGTGGGAGCGCCGGGGAGAGATTTATCGTTTGAACTTCCAGGAGATCATTTTTATTACGGTGGCCGTTTGGAAGGCAGTCTCTCACCGCTGCCCGCAGAGAGAGGACGGGCGGGCGAGCAGAGGCTGCCGGAGGAGCCCGCAGGCCGCGCCGCCCGCCCTGCCCGCCCGAGCGCGTCCCCGCCTCGGCGCGGCCCCGCGGCACGGTCCCGACCGCCCGGCGAAGTTTCGCTTGCCATCGCTGTTCGGGAGCCTCTTGCTCCGCTCCGGGCTGTAACCTTGAACTTTCGAAAGCGTGGTGACAGTGTCGTGTTATTACGGCAGCACCACCAACTTCTGAAGAAAGAAAAAACACCGCTCCCCGCCCCCCCCCCCCCCAAAAAAAAAAAAAGGAAAAAAAAAAAAAAAGAAAAAGGATAAAAAAAAGCCAAACAAAAAAATCCTCCCGCCCACCCCCACACCCTCCCCCCCCACCCCGAGTCCTTCCCCCCTCATCTGCAAAACAACCAGCAGCAGCAGCAGCAGCAAAAGCAAGACTCCTGCGCCGCCGACTACAAGAGGGTTAAAAGTGTAGATTGGATTTCACCCCGGGAAATCTAGCACACGGAGTGAACTTGAATCTTTGGCTATTTAAGGAGGACTGGGGTTTGTTGTGAAGTTGTGGTGATCCAGAGCAGAGCCCCGTCCTGATTGATTTCATCTTCCTTGAGTCTCAGATGACTGTAAAATGAATAGATGAAATTATTCCTTTTTGAGGCTTTTCTTAGGGGCTCTCCGGGCAGCGTGTTCTCAAAGCGAAGTCATGATGTATTCTCCAATCTGTCTCACTCAGGTATAGACGCTTTTATTTAATTTATTTGTTAATTTGTTTATTTTCACGTGTTTGCTGGGATTTTAAAAAAAATTTATGTGTGTGGGTTATTAATGAGTCATTGCTAGTAGTTGTAACGGGTTAAAGCACAGTCGTAACTGTTTGTCAGATCCAAACTCCTCTCTCAGGAGGGAATATTAAAGAATAAACTGTACCACGCCATTGTTTTGGGGAGATCCATTCAAAGTGTCACCCGTATACAAATACTGTTAATTGTTGGTGCATAAGAAGTCAAAGGTTAACAAACTGGAAATGAGCATAATTATGCTAAAAAACCGTGTTTGAGAAGTATTGATTTGATTGGAATCAAACGATTTGCACTCTTTTCATCTCGCCTGTTTACACACAGCCTAATGAAAGGGTTTGAAAGGAAAAGTGGTTTTTTTGACAAAACACGACCACTGGCCGGTGCGAAGTAATCCCGTCTTATGCTTAATTAATAATATGCAGGCTGCCAACAATGAGGGAGATGTGAGCGGGGATGACCAAGCTGTGCAGCGTTTTCTCGCTCGGTTATACAAGGGCACGTCGTTTTCCCCCTCCCCGCTGAAGTGCGGTGCCGGCAGAGGAGCGTGCCTTCTACCCAGCACGGGGAGAGACCGGCCCTTTTCTGAGCGCCGCGCTTGCGGCCGCTTCTCGGTGGCGAGCGGCGGCTGTCAGCGGCACGGACGGCGGGAGGGCAGCGGCGGCCGGCGCGGTGCGGAGCGCAGCGGAGCGGGGCGCGGAGGGCGGGGGGCAGCCCGAGCGGGGTCCGCGCCGCGGCAAAGCGCGCATTTTGAAACCTGAGGGGTTTCGGGAGCGTGCCTGGGGAGTTCTCCGGGCGCCCCTGGAGCGTCCTCGGCCGGTGTACGGTATCGGCGAGCGAGCGCTGGGGCACCGGAGCCTTTTTCGGACGGTAAACCCTGTCTGCAAAGCTCGCGGATAGTTTTCAGCTTTCGTGAAAGTCTGTCTTAGGAGGATGTGATGTAAACTGATTAAGCGATAACTGCTTGCTTTTGCATTGGTGCAACAAATAGCTAAAGAAGCAGAAAATGTGCGAAAGTAATGTCTGCTGCAAGGCTGCTACGGAGAGGCCAACGATGCACTTACAGTTGCACCGTGAATAAATAAGTGTGATTTAAGTTATTCCGCAGTTACAAACCATTGTAATTCGAAAGGACTAAAGTATTCATAAATTGTGATTGAAGATGGAAACAATGATAAGGCTTATTCAGTGATTGGACACAGTCCTGCAGTTTTTTGGCTGACACATTTTTTATTGTTTATATTTTGTTTGGCATCTAAGTGTGATTGACTTAGATATGGATATTTTCAGTAAGTAAACGTGAGCTGCAGTGGAAGAAAGCTGGAAAAAAGTGTTATTGAGATATTTCTTCTTCAAAAGAGAAACATAGGAAGCATTTTGTGTAACAGAGACGCACATGCTTACAGGTACACACATAGAAATAACTACTTAGCGTGGAATCTGTGGTTAGCAAAATTAATTCTGTGGAGACTGTCCACTGTGTGGAATTATTGATGGGCAATAAGACCTCTGCATCAGAATATAAACCTGACAGTACAAGAAAACAGTTTTTGCATTTGAGACACAGGTTTTCACAACCACCTCTTTTACAGCGGTATTTCATGATCTTGTTTCCTTCTCTAATTTTTTTTTTAACATTATTTTTTCTTTTTGGGCTCATTGATGTAATAGATTTCCTCATTCTTTACAAATTTGTATTAAAATACTGCACTCAGGTGTATAAAAAAATGCTACGTTGTACTTCTACTGCCATTAATCCAAGAAAGCAGTTTCTGGCTTTTGTGCATTGATACTTTCTCCATAATATTTTACAACCATGCTCTACCACGTGCCATGCAGGAACAGTTCACATTTGGTAATACATACATGTAACACAGTTGCAATAAATTGATTTTAGTTTGAAATATTTTTCTACCTGCTTGGAATGATAGGACAAGTTTAGAAATGATATTTTTTCTCTATATAAATTAAAAATTAAAATGACACCAGTAATGAGAACTTAAACCTGGTATTCTTCATTTGTTTAAGGCAAAAGATTGATTCATTTCACTTGAAGTAGCAACTGCATTAAAGCATTACTGCCACAATTGTTCTCTCTCTTGTATTCTCTGTCTCTAGGACTCTTGCAATGCTCATCGACTGTGGTAGTACAGGTTCAGAAGAAAATATTTTGGTAAAAGTAAACACAGAACACCTGTTTGGATGGAACTACTTATGAAAGTGGTAGTTCAGTTTGTGCCGAGACAGCGCAGAAGCATGTTTTAATAACAAGTCTAAAATGCAAAGTACAGCTTTAAGACAAATCTTGTCAATTTGAGTGTTACCCATCACACTTAAAATAAAAGTTTAGTGAGTGAAAATAAGTCCAAGGTAGAAGAAAACTTACCAAATGCCATTTAATTTTGTGGGCCCCTTTCCTCGGTTTCCCACATACCTCTTTCTCTATGTTTTGGAATGACTGGAAACTGGATTTATCTCTCTTGCTGAGGCATGAATAGGATGCAGTTTACTGCATGCCTTTTAGTGCTAGCTCTCTTGTGATATTTTTGCCGTGGTTTATTATGTTGCAGTAGTCCAAAATCTCATAATATGTAGTGTTTTCTTTTGCGCCTATATGTTTCACTAGGCATGAGAAAATCCGTGCAGGAAGTTGAGTAGATGAAGTTTTTTGTATAAAATTTCCCTACTTCTGCCTGGTGCATTTACTGCACAGTCCTCAATTTGAGCTTTCTGGGCTGATACAAAGTTTAAAAGTGAAAGATAGGAGAAGAGCACTGCATATCCTCTTTATCTTTTCAATAAAGAAAACTTGGCCTACCTATTGTCATTAGATGGCTGCTATTTTTTCCTTTCTTTACCAGGAACATAGATGTTGTAGAGTAACTTCCATTTTAATTTAAATTGCCAGTGCACAATGGTTCACCTTAGCTATTTGATATTACATTTGAAAATCTTGCCTTTATAAATTGCTTCATTGCAAGAGCAACTGTGGCACATGAGCAAGTGTCACATAAAAATAAAAAATAATTTACTATTGTCTATATGAATATTAAGGAGAAAAAAAAAGTCTGTTGATATCTTTTTAGGAGATTTGGTGGAGAATGTGTGTGATTAATTGCAAATGTCCATTTAGGATAATTTTTACGGGCACTTCCCCATGTCAAGTAGTAGTTTCATTTGAAAATGCACAAAGAATAGCTCAAAAAATCTGATAAAATTGCTTTCAAACAGAATATTCTTTGCTGTGTTTCTTCTCAACACTTTTCACGTATATGTATGTCTTTAGGACTTAACAATACTGTGAAAGAAAAACCTGAATACAGTTTTTAAAAGGTTGGCATTTCTGGTGTGCATGTTTTTGTGGTTTCTTTTCTCCCTATTTTTGAAAAGGAAACATTCAGGTACTACAGGCTGGAATTTAATCAGTGAAATTCTCTATAAAATTTTCATAGATATAAAGTGCTATAGTTTATTATTGTTAATACTATATGCATTACCTCAAGGCATAGTCAATCTGAAATAATTTAGTAATTTATGATGATCTTCTTCAAAATTAAAACTAGATGTGCAACAATTTACTAATGTAGAATACATCCATGTTTATTTTATTGCCATTTTAAGTTATAAATGCCAAAGTCTGTTTAGATGTAGGAGAAATCATTGTATTGAGGCAAAAATTAATTTCTCCCAAAGCTCTTCAGCCACCTGCCTTCACCCCACCTTTAGCCCCAGCTGTTAGAATTTTCAAAATCTGTAGTAAATCTGTTTTATTCAGCCTAAAATGAATTGTGAGGACTTAACACAGTATGGTCATTATGCTTCCACTAATTAAAAAAAAATTCAGTACTTCAATTAAGATGACTTCTGTAAGAGAAAAAATAAACTTTCTTTAGTAGTTATAATTGAAAGGGAAAAAAGCATGGCATCAGAAAGCATATGAAGATAGGGAAGTCTTATCATGGGCTGTGGTTGCTCAGAGCAGTACTGCCTTCCCACACAAAGAACAGATTGTGGTTTAACTCTTTCCACGGCCTAGTTTTATGTACCAGTATAGTAACAGAATTGTTCAAATCTCTGCTGGAAACTACTAATCAGTTTAATTGTTGCCTTTGTAGGTCTTTGACAAGCATCATACTGTAATGAAATTGTTTATGTCCTGAAGTATCTTCCTATATTGCCTCTCTGTTCTTTTTTTCCTTTACCCCCCCCCCCCCCCCGCCTTTGCTTAATTTATTTTTTTTTCTATGAAGACAACATGATCATAGGTAAACTGCTTGTAACTTTTCTGTTGTTTTCTGTTTGATTTGAGGATGGTTAGAGAGGTAACTAGATCTAGTGGGTTTTCCAACATTCAGGAAATTTTGAAGTTTGTTTGAAATTCAAAGATTTAAATATGGAATTCTTTGCCTGAAGCTTCTGCAATGGCAGTCTGCACTCTATAATTGAGACCATTAGTTATACTTTCATCATTTTTACCTAATGGAGTTAATCAGCCTATTGATTAAACATAATTCATTCCTTGTCTAGCAGCGTAACTAAAATAGTAGTTTGTTAATTGTATTCTTGAATATAATTGCATAAAAAAGGTTCGGTTTTAGTTTGATTGCACTGTGCCACTAAGTATGATGAGCAATCTGCGTGGTATTTAAAACTAAATATCCCTACACACAGGAAGAAGGATACCTCCCCTAAGGTCTCCCTTTCAACCCAAAATATAGTAATGTTTGATAACCAGATTGCAGTGTTTTAAACAGCAGACTTGTTAATGGAAAATAAGTTTTTGGGGAAGGTCTATTTAGATATTAACATGGATGTGTAGGATGGTACTTTAAGCAGACAAATGAAATTAATTTAATTGCTATAGGATGTGCCTGTAGACAACAACTAAGCATTACCTCCTTAATGCAATCCATATTGCTGCTAGGCAGAAGATAAGAACTTGCAGGTGAAGCCAGACAACAGAAAGGGTTATTTTGAAACTGTAAATAAATGGCATGGATTTCACAAAAGCAGCATTGGACCAGCGGTGGACTCATAATGTCTCTTTGCCACAGCATGTAGAAACACAAAGAATGCAAAGTTTGTGCCAAGTTGCCATTTTTCATTGTACACCTCAGATTGATTTTTAAGGGGTTTAGAATAATTGCCACACTCATGTGATCAGTTAGCAAATTAACTGACCCTGTGGGGCTTCAAAATTCACAGTGGAACTGCTGGAAGGACATAAATGTAATTTTTGTTCTCACCTTCATAAAGTCCTAATTTTACAGAGCTTGGGGGTGGTGGGAGGGAAGCGAGAAGAGCTGCAAGTACAGAAGCTTCTGTTCAGGATTTGAATATGACATGTGTCTTTTGCCTGCTTTTCCTTACTGTATACTGGTTTCTCTAGTTACCACCACTGGAATGGTGCTGTTTCAGTGCTGGAATGTTGGACGTTTGATAAGAAAATGGATCAAGTTTAATGGCGCATGCTCTTTGTGCCACCAGCGGTCTCTTGCTGAGAGCATGCTCCAAAAGCGGGAACTGTGTGGCATTACACTGAGCATGTATATGCTTTGTGTTTCTGTGCCACAGAGAAGAGAAATGAACTGTGGCGTTTGCCTCAGCCTTCTGAACATTTCTGCTCAGATTTTTTAAAACCGTGCAGTGTCCTCTTTGTGCAATGGTACTTTTCTTGATGTTAGCTGTTCAAATATTTAAATGTTAGGAACAAAACATCTTGGTAGCATCTCTTAAATTATATTGTCTCTGCAGAGTTGTGGGATGAACGAGGGGAGGAGTACAAAATAAAATTTTCACATAGTTCTTTCAAAGAACGAAATATGAAATTTGTGTAAATTTTACGTGTTTATTCTCTTCATCTCGTATTCACTTAAAGATTTTCAAAAATGTTTCTTGATGGTGCTTTGGTTATGAGAACTTGCTGACTTTGAGTTTTCTTGTTCTCTTCTTCTTTTTTTTCCTTCACTTCTTTCCACAGGATGAATTTCACCCGTTCATTGAGGCACTTCTTCCACATGTGCGTGCAATTGCCTATACTTGGTTCAATCTTCAGGCTCGAAAACGCAAGTACTTTAAAAAACATGAGAAACGAATGTCAAAGGATGAGGAAAGAGCAGTCAAGGATGAGCTACTTAGTGAAAAGCCTGAAATTAAACAGAAGTGGGCATCCAGGCTCCTGGCCAAGCTGCGCAAAGATATTCGCCAAGAGTTCCGGGAGGATTTTGTGCTCACAGTTACTGGGAAGAAGCACCCATGCTGTGTATTGTCCAATCCTGACCAGAAGGGCAAGATTAGGAGAATCGATTGCCTGCGACAGGCTGACAAAGTCTGGCGTCTGGATCTAGTCATGGTGATCCTGTTCAAAGGCATCCCCTTGGAAAGTACGGATGGAGAACGTCTCATGAAATCCCCCCATTGCACAAATCCAGCACTTTGCGTCCAGCCACATCACATAACAGTATCGGTCAAGGAGCTTGATTTGTTTTTGGCATACTACGTGCAGGAGCAAGGTAGGAAGCAGACTGTCATGTTTCTATGTTAGTATGTCAGACTCTGACTCCAAGCAGCCCTGTTTCCCCTGTGGGCTGGCTTCCAGTGAAACAGTGTTCTGTGGTCCATAGATGGAGTGTGGCTACATATCCATTTGTAAATCAGCCTATATACATATGTACTTAAACACACACAAATTCCTGCAGACCTGTATGACATGCATATTTGACACGCGTGCCTCTTTCACGAGCGAGAGAGACATGTACCAAGGCAGTACTTTCATTCCACTGAAGTTGCCTTTTATTTATTGTGAAAAAGTGGCAATACATAGTTGCGACTTCAGAAAACATTATTGTTTTCAAATTGAGTTTCTAAAGAAAAACCAAACAAAACCCCCCACCCCGGTACTATTAAGAATAGATGCAGGTATATGCAATTGCACAGTCACAATAAATACTACAAATATTTATTATTGTCTTTGTTGTTATAATTAATCAAGAAGCAATCCTGAAACTGATCATGTTGAAGAGCAATTGTAGACTTTCTCATGCCTATAAAACAAAGCTTGAAAATACTTTATCACGGCAGTATTTCATATAAATGCCAAATAGAATCAGAATTGCAGCACACAATATGCAATGTTTTATCCATATTTTACATCAGTAGCTCATCTTATCTTTGAGCTTTAAAACAAAGATCCAGGTCGTAACATTTTGAGAAATTTTTATGAAGAGTATATTTTCATAATCACACTCATATACTTTTATTTGGCAGGTAATGGAAATGTGGAAAATTGCAGGAGCTCTATGGAAAAGCTTCTTAAACTTAGTATTACAGAATGAAAATAAAAACAGGGCTTCTGATAATCACGTGTCAGGGGAAAAACCTACTAGCCATATTTCATATATTGGATATTCAATAACAATACCCATAGGCAGGTTCCCTAAAATTGTAAATGGCTGTAAGTAGATAAAGGTGTTGGTTTGCTTTTTTCTTTCTTTTTTTTTTTTTTCTCTGATTGTAAGTCTTCTGAAGTATTTTTTCTCTGTTAGGGTCATTTTGGTTCTTTCTGATAATGATACTGTCTTCTAAGTGTCTTTGTAATGCTGGCTGATCAGCAGTAATGATGCATTTCTTTTTTAGCCACAGATCTCAACTAGGGAAAGTTCGACCATCTGCAGATGGTGGGCCATTTCACAACTTGGCCTGGTAGCAGGTAGAAATGGCCTGCAGAAGGGCAGATGGCAGGCTGTTATCTGATGCTTGGTAAATAACTATGGGATTTAACTGGAAAACAAATTGAATTGATTTTGTTAGCAACAAAAAAGTGAAATTGCATGGCTTCATTTGGTGTATACTCGTTTTTTAAGAGGAGAGCTGCAAAATGAAATATTTTGTTTTAAGTAATTATCTTTTAGCATTTACTCAAGCAAGTGAAGAACTGTTTTTGTGAATGTATGTATTATTTGATGTGAAAAAAATATTGGCTTCTCCCCCCACCCCTGCACTCCCCCTAGTATTTTTTGGGGTTTTTTTTTGTCTCTCCACAGCAGTAGACACGTTTAGGTATTTTACAGTGACTTTAAGTAGTTGCGGAGTCTGGTAAATCTGATCCCAAATAATACAGGAAGAAAGATTTCTTTGACAACACTAAACAAAATAGCTTAATTACAAGTAATTTTTACCTTTAAATTCCTTTTGTAGGAAAAAAAAATCAAATTATATTATGAATGCATATAGCGTAAGTCATAACTTACTGATTAATTCTATGGATTTACCTGTCTCTAAAAGTCAAAACTACAAAGGGAGGCAAAACAGTTTAAGTACCTCTTGAGCCAAAGAAGCTGGGGTCAGAGTACTCTTAGCGCACTGTTGACTTATAAGTTGTTGAAAGGCAGTAACTTGAAGTGGGAGAAGGAATTGCAGGGCATAGCTGATTTTGTTGATTTAAATGTATTGAGAATATAAGTTTATTTAAAACACTTTTGTCTAATTGGAAATGAGGAAGTTAAGCATGTTGTAATATTATAACTTTCAAAGTTACACAGTGCTACTTTGAGAATATACTGAAAATGAAGCTGGCTAATTTCTATTTCCAAGTCACTCATAGAAGACCCTTTTGTTTATTGCTAACTGCATGTCTTTTGTATTTTGCTGCTTTACATTAAGTCTTCCATTAACATCTGTTGGCTCTCTTCTTGAAAAAGTCATATTAAGTTGTCTATGTAATTTTTTCCCATTTTATAAAACTTTGATTCTCTATGTTCATTGAAATCAGGTTAATTGTGGCACTTTTTAGGGTACTTGATTAAGAGTGCCAGGCTCTGTGAAAGATATGTGTGAAGTCAACCAAAAATGTTGCATTATACTTATGGCATTTTGCTTTTTATTTATCTTTCAGAACATATAAACGCCTAATAGCACCATGTAACAGCTAAGTGGACACATAAAAAAATTTAAATCACTGAACAAAATATGAAGAAGGAATTAGCACACAAAATGAAAAAGGGCCAAATAGTTTGCTTTTTTTGTTGCTTTAAAATAGAAGATTAGGGGAAAAAAGAGGAGGAAGGATAGTTCGAGTGCCAGTGATGGTTGCCAGTGGCACCAGGATTGGCATCAGACCTTCTTTGTTTAGCCTAGGATGTCTGTGATTTGTTGGTTGGCATCCGCATTGCAGTGCAGAGTAATGTTACAATATATTGACAATTTCCAGATCTAGAAGTGTCAATAATGTTTTCAGTTCTTAACAAAAAGAGCTTCTACTTCCATGTCTGTCTTGAAAGAAGAAATAAGGACTGATCTATGAAGTCCTATCATTGATGAACTTCATCAGATGCTACTTTTCGCTCATCTCAAATTCAGCATCTTTTTTCCCCTCTATTCATTTTATGCTATCCTCTTAAAAGAAAAAAAAAGAAAAAAAGAAGATTGACATAGGTTGCAATGCTGCTCCTTTGACTGAAAAGGAGGAAGAAAATGGGAAGTATACATTGTGATCAATGTTTAACATGAAAATAACTATTAATCACAAGGGGCTTCTATGGGGCTCTGTGTGTTGTGTGTATCAGGGGGGTGCGTGTGTCCCACACAGATTGTTTATAAAACCCCAACTTGAAAATGGTACGAACATTGTTTCTATTGACAGAATTGTCCTTTTTTTTTCTCCTGTGAGCATCAGAGACTGTCTATCATTTAGTATGAAATGCATTTCAGTCCATAAAATCATTTGATGGTATTTAATTCAGCGCAGCGCTTATGCTGTGTTCCCGTTGCTACAAGAACCGCCATTTTGTTTGTCGAGTGCCAGGAGAGGGGAAAAAAAGGCAGACAATGTGCTTGATGCCAATAATGGTTGCCAGTGGCACCGAGGTTGGCATCAGACCCTCTTTGTCTAGTTGCTGAATGCCTTTGATTCGTTGGTTGGCATCCGCATTGCAGTGGGCACATTGGAAAGTTTTTGACAATCAGTGAATGAAAGCTGCAGTACTTGTTTGCTGCAACAGAACCAAGATAGTATAAATCTCTCCTTGAGATGGACATTTTACTTACTCTTACAGTGACTAATTTTAGAAAAAAAAGCTAGAAATTGCCTTATTCTTTTCCAAAACTTAAAATATCTATAGCAATGTGCCTTGTCTGCATAATTCTGAATTCCCTCTTCATCTCCACTACTTTTTTTTGCAGCATGAATAAAACGCAAATTTGATGTTAGGTAATTCAGCATATACTGAATGAAGCATAGTACACCTTGGTAGTTTAAGAGTTTAAACAACTGAAGCAGTGCTACATGTAAATGTTAAGATTTTTAAGTATTTTTAGTGCATGTGTCTCTCAGAGTACATTTATCTGAACAGTCATGTTACTGTTTATACTCTCCTTTGTCCTCATGTAAGGGTGATATAACTGGGGGAGCCCACGTTCCCAGTTGTTAATAAAGTCTGGAGTCAAAGGAGGAGAGGCTCTTTTAAAAGAGTGGGGAAGAAAATAGGTGCAGATGTCCTTAGTCTCGTAGTGTTCAGGCACTCTTCGTTTTTTAACTTCTTACACCATCAAGATGCTACTACAGCTCCAGCTGTGCAACTTTGTTATCAGGAAATTGGCAGAAAGAATAAATCATTTCTCTTGGAAGTTTCCTAGATAGTTAACATTAATATTGCTTTCCGGTTAACTGCTATTATCTCGTTAATTAATAAGAAGGATTAGCAGCTCTACCAAAAGGGCTGGGCAGAAGGAAGCCTGGGCTATGTGAGTCCCTGATTGCTAGACTGTGTCCTGTCTCTTGAGGATTGGAGGGGGGGTACTGGGCCAGGGAAGAAAACAGAAAAAAGCAAGAGAAAGCTTAGAGAGCAGCGAGGGCACTGGCTGGCCAAGGGGAGAATTTTGTATGCAGGGTTCTCATGCTGAGCTGGCCCTGTGTGGGGAGGTTGGCAGTGCCCTGCTGCGCTGCAGGTGCCATTCCCTGCTGGGGGGGCATGGGAGGGGGCACGGGCACACCCCGGTGTGGTGCCCACGCTCCTGAAGAGCGCGCTTGCAGATAACCTCAGCTGGGTCCAGGGTGCTGCCGCCGCATCAAGCTGAAATGCTTCTGCCCTGAGCTTAATGCCAGCAAACTGGCAATCTCCCAGCCAAGTGGGGATATCGCTTTCCCAATTCAGACAGTCCTGGCAACACGTGTGTCTTGTCTTACTTGGAAAACATGCCCTCTTCCAGAAGGAATTGTAATTCTTTTTTTAATGAGATATGTCTGAATTGCAGGACTGGGTGGGTTTATCAATGGCTTAATCTTTTTAAAAGCTTTTTTGAGTTTTGTCAATTTATGTCTATAGGGAGCTCAAATTTTGAAAGAGGTTTGCATAGTAGTTTCACATTACATTTGAGTTTTCATTCTATAAGTTGAGAAAATTTATTGTGTAGTCATTCTGTTAATATTTTAAAATGATAATGAAATTGTTTTTTGTTAGGTTGCTGTGACTACATGAATTTTCCACTTAAAAGTCCCACTCAAAATAATGTTTTA